AACACTTCCATTAAACTGGTTAACATAGCCTTTGTGTCATTTTCTTAGTTATTATTTTAAAACGTTCACTTTCTGCTCTTAGAAAGATTCACTTGTACCCTTGTAAGATAAACCTCAGAAGTGATCCCTCCAATCCCCCTCCCTCCACCCATGCAATCTCCAGCTCTTGAGCTTAGGCGATTCTCTTGCCTCAGCCTCCCCAGTAGCTGGGACTATAGGTGCCTGCCACAATGCCGGCTATTTTGTTGTTGTTGCAGTTTAGTCAGGGCCAAGTTTGAACCTGCCACCCTTGGTATATGGGGCCAGTGCCCTACTCTCTGAGTCACAGGCACCACCCTCATTTTTATTTTTATAAATGCTATTGTTTTTCTCAGTGACTATAACTTTTTTTTTTTTTGAGACAGAGTCTTACTTTGTTGCCCTGGGTAGAGTGCTGTGATGTCACAGCTCACAGCAACCTCAAACTCTTGGGCTTAAGCAATTCTCTTGTCTCAGCCTCCCTAGTAGGTGGGACTACAGGTGCCTGCCACAACACCCGGCTATTTTTAGAGACTAGGTCTTTCTCCGGCTGCCTGTAATTCTTGATAACAGTTTTATTGAAATATGATTCATGTACAATTTATGCACATAAAATGTATAATTCAATGGCTTTTAGTATATTCACAAAGTTTTACAGTCATTACCATGATCTAATTTTAAAATAGTTTATCCCCTAAAAAGAAATGCCATAACCACTAGGAGTCACACCCCATTCTCCACCACTACCACTTCCAGCCACAGCCAACCACTATTAACTACTTTTTCTTTCTGAACATTTCATGTGCTTTGAGTTATACAGTGTGTGGTGTTTTATAATTGGCTTCTTTGGCTAACATGCTTTCAAGGTTAATCTCTGTGGTAGTGTGAATCAGTATTTTCTGCCAAATAATATTGTATTACTGTAATATATTTTATTTATCCCTTTGTCAGTTGATGGACATTCAAGTTGTTTTCACTTTTTGGTTATCATGAATAATGCTGCTGCTGGGCATGGTGGCTCATGCCTGTAATCCCCGCACTCTGGGAGGCCGAGGCAGGTGGATTGCCTGAACTCAGAAGTTTGAGACCATCCTGAGCAAAGCAAGACCCTGTCTCTACCAAAAATAGAAAAACTAGCTGGGTGTTGGGGTGGGTACTTGTAGTCCCAGCTACTCAGGAGGCTGAGGCAAAGGAGTCACTTGAGCCCAAGAGTTTGAGGTTG